AAGAAAAATATGTTGCTGCTGGGAGGCTCACATCCCATATCAGAGTGCCTAGATGTGAGCAAGCTCCACCTCAACTTCTGATTCAGATTTTTGCTCATGTGTCCTAAAAGCAGCAATTGATGGCTCAAGTACTTGGTTCACCGATTTTCACATGGGACACCCAGATGGAATTTCCAGCTCCTGGCTTCAGCCTGGCCCAATCACTGCTGTTGCAGGCATCAGGTAAGTAAACCAGGAGATGGAAGATCTGTTTCTTTCTGTCACTCTATTTCAATAAACAAAGAAATACGGCTTTGAAAAATGAAAGCATTGTTCTTTGATTGCAAAGATACATTTGGTCACATACACAACTTTTAAAATATTCCTCTTTTCCTTTAATTTTGCTTGGAAAAATAGTCTGTCTTCCCTCTTAAGCAAAATTATGCATTCTCAAAAAGTTTCAACTCACTTTTAGGCAATGAAAAATCCTGAGGTTGCTTAAAATTGCAAACCTAGGCTCATTTCATAAGGCAGAAATGCCCAGCACAATATATCAAACATTTCAATTCTCATCGGAAGGTAAAGCTTTTTCCCCTAAAGAAGCATACATGATCCTTTCTTCTCCTTTGCCCTGACATTTCCACTCCTTGGGCTTGATCTGTTTGTCTGGCAGCTCAAAGCAGAGACAGAGGAAATGTTAGGGCTACAGGAACGTCCTTACTTGAGTGATCCTGAGGTCAAATGTCTTAGACCTCCTTGGGCTAGGCTGGAGGTAGGCTGGAGGTTAGTCTCAGTCTCTCTCTCTCTCTCTCTCTCTCTCTCTCTCTCCCTCTCTCTCTCTCTCTCTTTTCTTGTGGAATGCTACTAAGGTCCGCAATGGTTCCTAGGCATTGGAAGTTCCTGCAGTGCCCTGTAGATACTGTTTTTACCTGATTGACACAGGAATAATTGAGATACATGCATTAAGGGTGGATGTTTGGCATTCGTTCTTTTCTTTCTCTGCTTCTCTTTCACATAGTAGATGCAAGAATCCTTACAGATAACCTCTTTGGCCAGTGGTTTCTTTTCTCTAGATCCTTCAATATTCTCACCTTAATGTGAAAGTTATAACTTTGTATAAATCCGTAGAATACTCTTCCATCCCCCTGTAGGAAATAATCTTCAAGTGGCTAGGATTCTGTGGTCACACTGTGTGGGTTCAAATTCAAGTTCTGTCACACACTACTGCATAACAATGGACAAGTTACTTAATTTCTCAGGGCTTCCCCTTCCATAAAGTAGATAATGGTGATAGTTTCTATTTCATGGAGACACTATGAGGAATAAATGAACTAATATGATTAAAATGCTTGCAGCAAAACAAACATATGAAAAAATGCTCAAGTTCCCTGGCAATAAGGGAAATCCAAATGAAGACAACAATGAGGTACCACCTAACGCCAGCTAGTTTGGCACACATACAATAAAACGACCAAGAACACTTGCTGGCGAGGATGTGGGAAAAAGGGAATCCTACTCCACTGCTGGTGGGACTGCAAACTTGTACAGCCTCTATGGAAATCAGTATGGAGGATACTCAAAAAACTGAAAATCAGCATACCATATGACCTAGCAATAGCACTCCTAGGAATATATCCAAAACACCTGTTTCACAAGAAACCAATATGCACCCCTATGTTTATAGTAGCACAATCAATAATTGCAAAGACTTGGAAGCAACCGAAATGCCCATCAACAGAAGACTGGATAAGAAAGCTATGGTTCATATACTCCATGGAATACTACTCAGCTATTAAAAAAAGCAAAATACAGTTTTTTGTGGCCAAATGGGCCCAACTGGAACCCATTATACCAAGAGAAATGAACCAATCCCAAAAGGTTAAATACCACATGTTTGCCTTAATTTGAGATGAAAATATGTTAATCTGGAAAATAGTACCTGTATATTGTAATATTATTGGCAATCTCTGACAGCCTGTATCCAATGCAATAAGATAATATGTTGAAATCTATAAAACAACAATTAATGTGAGTCAGACTGCTTATGATCTACATCAAAGAACTGTAAAATCTAAAACACTCTTAACACCCTATGTTATTCTGTAATGGGGAGGGAATGCAGAGAAATCATCCATCTCCCTAAAAAGTGAGAGGAAGACGTGAAATATAACCTATCAGAATCAAATCTGGTAACTCATAGACAACAGACTCGAGTCGGCACTAGACAACAGTAAAGCTACACAGGCATAAGGTGGGGAATTGGGAGCGATCCTGACAGCCTCTTAACAGGAGGTCATGAGTATGGAGCAGGGGTGAGACCCTAGAGTGGAGTGGGTGGACAGGATGAGGCTTGTATCCCAACCCTGAAGACTCCCAGATCCTCACCAAGGACTATCAGTACAGACACCAAGGACTACATCCCAACTGCCAAGGAGACCACGGGGAATAGGAGTGACTTCGGAGGCCGAGAGCTCTGAGGTCACCCACCCCAATCTGGAGCTTCCACAGGGGATGGAAGAAGTCCAAACTCTGCGGTGCAGAAACCAGCGTCATCGGAACGACAACCAGGAGCCCTGAGCGGTCTGCAGAAACAGCAGAATAATAAACCTCCTTCGGGACTAGGCATGGGAGCTTTCTCTGGTCCTTGCCTAGCTCTGGCTCTGGGTCCCCACCCTCTCTTGCGATGACCATTAGGATCACTCCAGAAACCCCTCAAAACAAACAAACATACAAGCAAACAAAAAACCTAGAATGGACAGACAACAACAAGGACAGCTTAGAATCAGACAGGAAATGGTCAGCGTGGATTCACTCATACCTCACTAGGTGGGACACAAAATTTAGTTATAAGCCAGTTCAGACCACCCGAAAAACAACTGAGTTTAGCAAAATCATGCTTCAACACTATAAACAGCTAAATAATAAAATGAAAATAGACACGAGACAGCTGAATAGTAATCTATAGCCATTTTGAGGTGCATACAACCCGGTTGAATATAAACCAGAAATTGAAATGTCTATGAAGCAGTCACAGGATGTAGTTAAGAACCTGCATTTTCCTATTAATATATTGGTTAATCAATACCATGTCCATTAATGCCATAATGTTGTAAATTGTTGTTGATGTTATGTTGGGGCTTTTAATTGATTGGGATGATACTTTGCCGGCTTTACCTTCAGACCAGAGATGGTCTCACCAAGAAATCATTGAACTCACTAGGATAATAAGATGCTGGACTTTATGCTTGGTAAAAACTTCCAGTGAAAGAACCTCAACTGAATTTGAACTGTGGTAATGCAGCAAGGTGGAGAAATCCACCATGGAGAGAGGGTTCTGGGAGGGGTGGGGGAAATCCCAGTGCCTATAACATCGTGTCACATAATGCAATACAATGAAAAAAAAATATGCTTGCAGCAGTGTCTGATCCATATAGATTGCTCTAAAATTGCTTATACCCCTGCTGGATACTATCACATTTCCTCATGTTAGGTTAAGGCCCATTTACCTGGTTTTGCCTCACAGTATTTCTTTTTTTAATTATTTATTAATTAATTACATATTGCATTATGTGACACAGTTTTATAGGCACTAGGATTCCCCTACCTCTCCCCCAACCCTCCCCCCATGGTGGATTCCTCCACCCACAGTATTTCTGAAAATGGATTTTAAGGATTGTCTTATTGTCTTTACCTGAGCAACAATGAATAGTACATCTGTTATTACTTACTCAGAATCTGATTAAATTATATAGCTAGGCTTTTTGACTACTAGGTCCCTGTTTGGTGGAAGCTGAACCAAAGAGATAATCCATGACTTTGCCAGGGACCCTGGGATCCCTTTAACATTTTCCCAAAAGATGTATTTATTTAATTGAACAACAGAGTGACAGAGGAAAGACATACAAAAAGAGGAAGAGAAAGACGGAAACAGAGAGACAGAGAAAGATCTTCTATCCACTTCTTCTTTCCCCAGATGAACACAACAGTGAGGGTTGGGCCAGGTGAAAGTTGAGAATGCAAAACTCCATCCTCATCTCTCATATGAGTGGCAGGTGCCCAAGTACTTGGACCATGATCTACTGCCTTCCAGGTAGATTAGCAGGAACTTGGTTCAGAAGCAAAGCAGCCATAACTCAGAACCAGGGTCTGATATAGAATGCTGGCTTCACAAGCAGCGTAACTCACAGGCCACTACCATTTCCCATTGACATTTTAAGCTTCCCATGGAGAGAGTAGACAGAAAGTCATAATAGGCTGCTTGGTCCAGGCTTTCTTCAGAAGCGTGAGTAAGCTGCACCTTGTGCTTCAGGAGAAGCCCTCGTCAGCTGCTCTGACAACCTTCAAAGGAGACAGCTACTGTCCTCTTTCCCTGACTCTCAGCTCATGCACACTTACACACTACAGTGTGTGTCTTTTAGTCTGTCACTCAACTGCATATCCTCAGGACATGGCAGCTGTCATTCCCTGTTGATTAAATGTGTACATGAATGAATGAGTGGCAGAGAATAATATACATTACAGAGGAATGATATACATTAATAGGGCTCTTCCTGTGATTTAAAAATAAAAATGAAATCTCTGCCACAATTTTTCAATATGCTAAATTCTCATGAACAAGCCAATTGTTAAATATTTCTTAAAGACATGGAAGTAACTAACTGAAGAAAAAGTAAAAGCATTAAATGTGCTTGTTTCTGGGTGGTGAAACCAAAACTAAGGATCAGTTTTCTGCTTTTCTTAAAACTCCCTCTGTATTATCTAATTTTAAACCATATCATTTGATTTTTAACTATGTGTAACGAGAGAAAAAAAAAGCTGAAATGTGTAAAACCAAAGACTGGATTTTTGACCTGGTATAACCCAACATCCTGCTGTACTTTTGACATCAGCAGAAGAACACATTCCTTTTTGTTGCTTCTTTAAAAAAAAAAAAAAAAAAAAAAAAGTGCCCAGAGTCCTGATTACCAAAGAGTTTTGACCAAAAGTCAGGTTGTCAAATAAACAAGGCTTGGAACTTTAATAAGGCAGTTCCAATGGACCTAGGCTAGGCCAGGCAGGCCTACTAACTGGTGCTTAAAGCTAGTCCTAACAGGACTGAGTAGATCCTTGAACTCCATGGTTCTCATGGGAATCCTCTGATATCAAATCTCCTTCCCCTACCTGCTTCTCCTCTGATCCTGTGGAGATGAAAATTGACATCCATAGTCATATTCTACCAAAAGAATGGCCAGATCTAAAAAAGGTAATGGTGATTAATTTGCTGAATTATTTCTGGAACATCACCTGAGTTTCTCAATGCCTCTGTTTATAGACTTTTCTCTTCTCTGAGAGAATCTGATATTATCTTTCTCTGCTCCAGCGGTGGTTTTAAATAACTTGGTAATTCTGATTTGCTAATTTCTAAAAATGATTGTTTCACATTGATTTTGAAATAGTATTGAAACAAAGAAGCAGTGCTTTCTCAAAAACCCCTCTCTTTCCCCGGCAAGAGAAGCATTCTTTAAAATTGCTGAACAATTTAAATAAGGCAAATTTACTTCCTTTAAATCACATTTTCAACTGCTGGGAAGATACATGCCAACTACAGAATTTAAAGTTTTGTTTTAAGTAAAAGACTATTAAAAATGGAATGTGATAAGATTTAAGGATTTCTAAAATACATCTCCTTTCCAAAATGTTTCAAATACAGTTTAGAAGAATCAAAGTTTGTGGAATTTTTTTTAGTCTATTTTGGGAAGCTGTCTGAAACCTTTCCTTTTTGATCTGTAAGCTGTAAATCCTTGTTATGAAGAACTAGGGAGTAGGTACATCAAAAATCCCCAGAATAAGTGACACATAAAGGTTTTACACAATGCATGTCTCTAAAGAGTATTCTCTGTGCTTCTGTAAAGATGGAAATGTCCTTTGGTCATTAAGAACTTTTGAAGGAACACTCAAAGAGGAAGGCGGGAGACATGAAAGAAATTTTAAATTGGCTTCGTGTCAGGCTTTACCCAGTCTTTGGCATTCTGCTAGCACTTTCATACCAATGGCAATGTTTCATCTCTTTTATCCCAAGTGGGAAAAAGCGAATCAGCCCCAACTCTAATTAAAATGTGATTCACTGTGCAAGTAGATCCAACTGTGTAATTCTCATAGCTGTCTCGTAGAACATCAATCTCAAATGTCTCTGCCCACTGAAATCCTAAGTAGGATGAGTGGTAGGAAGTGCATGATAAAAACTACAAGCAATTCTGAGCCATCTCTGAAAGGCTAGAGCTACGGGTGAAAGCCAAACTATCCCCCTATGCCAACAATCTCACAAGGGGAGCCTAAATGCTTACACAGGATGTTTTAAATGCTGGTGTCCTCATCAGATTTTATTGATGTGTAACCACCACTTCTCAGTGTTGATTTTATGAAGAGAGTGCACAAGCTACTTGGCAGGAGCAAGAACATGTCTGTCTTATTTGGGAACTGCCTGCCATTGCGCACTTCCAACATCACTCACCATTTTCCACCTTCCATCGATGAGTACTTACCTGAGGAGTGATGCAATGAAAAAAATACATTCATTTATAACTCAGGCTATAGAAGGAATAGCACACTCCCAAATATAAAAGTTTTAGAAAAATCTAAAGCTTAGCATGTGGTATTTTGTAATAGCCCTTGGTCTGTCTCAGCAAGCAGCATTAATTCAACATGATGGTTTGTGGTTTTTATTTTTTCATTTATTTGAATGGCAAAGAATATGCATATGAAATGGTCTGAGAATCAGCAGGTGGTCTTCACAGACAGACCACCATTTACCTGAACTCTCCACTGAGAAATGTGCTCAGAATGACTCACCCTCCAACACTCTGTCACAACAGCAGGGGCTTAAAACTCCATATCATTCACCTCCTAATCTAGTCAAAGATTTCTGGAGTTGAAAGAGTACTGTGGTTTGATATATGGTCATATGTTGAACTCACGCTTAGCTGATAGCATGAGGAGATGAGACCTCTGCAGGAGATTAGGTCATGAGAGCAAAAACCTCATGAATGGGATCAGTGCCCTTATAATATAATCCCAAGGAAGTTCTTCCACCCCTTCCAGCATGTGAGAAGTAAGGAGGCTGGATGTGGTATGTTAGCCTTGTGCTTCCCAGGCTAAACCTGGGAGCAATGAGGTTATATGAGTCATCAACTGATAGATTGTGTTACAATAGCCCAAATGGACCAAGACAGAAAGCAAAACAAAGTTCAGATGTTTCCATGGCTACAGGAAGGAATTTTCAGTTTCTTCCATAGGAAGTTAGGGTATTACTGTGCAAAGAACCTAGCTGTTCTATCAGTTCTTGTTGACTTCATAGTGAAATTTGGGCCTAAAACCAGTTTCCAGAGACTAAGAGACTGATTTCAGACAACATTCAGAGCAAATCCTTTCCCTGGAGAACACACTGTTCAGGTCCCTTGGGAAGGATTGTCTTCCCACTAAACCTAAGTCCTGATAAGACATTAACCCTTCTGGGTGAGGTCTAGAATAAGCTATAAGTACCAAATCTCCTTCAAATGCACCTCAGCTTTCATCACCCAGAAGACCCAGAGGGGGCTAAAATGGTGCCTCCTCCTCTTTACTGAGGTGAAAACCTGCACAATTTTACTTTCTCCCTCATTCTCTATTTTCCACCTCCAAACTTCCCTCAATTTGAGAAGAAACCTGATCACCAAAAGTTAGCAATTTCTAGGTACACCACTGTATGCAGGATGCCAAGGTAGTCTTAAAACTTTTGGGAAACTGAGGGGACACACAGCATGGAGACAGTTTTAGGCTTACCCCTAGAGACTTCCCAGGCACATGTTAAGCTGATCCTTCACATTCCCTCCCCTTCCCATAGCCAGCTTCTGCCTTCAGAGAGGGATGTAGGTTGTCTCAATAAGCCAAGCCTCCTTGCATCCACATGCTACAAGCAGACAGATGATACACTTCAGATTGACAGTAATAGTCTAATACTCTGCATTCTCCAAGGAAATAAGTAGACAGAGAGACAGGTATTAAGTAATCTGAACCACTATAAAACCTTGTGACATATGCTGTGGATAAGATTCATATTAGCAACCCTGGCTGATGAAGGAAGCACTTGAAATTCCAAAAGGGGCCTAGAATGCAAGAGAACTTGGGACCACAGTGATCTCTCCAGGGCATGGACTTCCCACGCACCTTGAGAAATTAGTCTAGAAGAAGATATCCTGCTTGCCTCTGCTCCCCAGTGCCTGCTCCACTGCTAGCCTCACACTGACTGAGGGCAGATTCACCAAAGCATCACTGGACTCTGGCCTCCCAGCCATAGGTTAAGCAGTTCCATCAGTTACATGTGAATGCTAGCCTTGGATGAGAGAACTAGCAGAAAACACAGCTATACTTTCAAACTGCATGGGCTCTGCTCTCTCACTCCCAGTCAACATGATCAGAGTGAAATGAATAATAAAGTGACATTAACTGGGGAGGGCATTTGGCCTAGCAATCAGGATGCCAGTTAAGACATCCACATTCACTACTGGCATATCTGGATTCTATACCTTCCTCCAGCTCCTGACTTCAGCTTCCTGGTATTGCACATCTTAAACAATGTTGTTACGAGCATTTGAGGAATGGATCAGCAAATGGGAACTTGCTAGTTCTCTCTGTCTCTCTACCTCACAAATAAGTAATTCAAAAGAAATTTGTAAGTAACATTAACTGTAGCAGAGTTTTGTGTATTTTAAACTTATTTCCTAGTGTAGAAAAGATATTATTTCAAAATATTAGCCTAGGTCTTTCCCACTATTTTTTTTCAAACTTATCAATAGAAGAGTGGGAAAAAAGGTTAGTAGTATTTTTAATTTAAAAGAGAAAGTCCCTTTTTAGAAGAACTAATGTTTCCTTTCAAACCTATCCTTCTTAAATATTAATAGACACACCTCCATAACTTTGACCTTCTTGTGCAATGAATCAAAACACCTAGGTTGATGATTAGCTACCAGTTTCAAGGAAATGGGATTTGAGAAATCTTTTATTTTTATTTGCCAATTATGAGGATATAGTGACAGGATTCCTGGGCATTTCTTGACACGGTTTCTGATGAGTCAGGACTGGTATTTTCTGCGGTGGTCCAGGAACCTAGGGAGGAAGAAGCTTCAGGGTGAGCCACCATGAAATCATTTACAATAATTACAATGAAGATGAAGCCTTCCATTTCCCTTCTACAAGACTTTATGGAATTAAGAAAGAGAGTGAGGGAGAACAGAAAGTTGGGAAGGGGCAAAAGAAGGAAATAAAATCTGCCCTTTTACATTAAACATAAAATTTCAATGGCAAAGAGTATATAGTTTTAAGTATGCTCTAAATTTTAGCTGATCTATGTCATATTCCATCCCTTCCTCCAACATCTTTTTGTGTCTTTTTCCAGGGGGAAAGGAAGGGAAAAAATAAAAGTATAAAAGGATAGAAGAAGACAGGTGCGGGGCCTAAGCTAAAGAGAATCTGAGTTCTGAGCATGTTTCCTTTGCCTGCCTAACCTGCTAATCAAGGTCCACAGATAAGCGGGTGGATTTCCAGAGCTAATGATTATTTGGAGCTAGAACTCAAAAACAGGCCTTATTACTGAATAAGACAAATGGGAAATTAATCCAAACTTTAAGATGCCTGTTGAGGTCCAATCACAGACCCAGAGACAAGAACCAGGATCCAGGTTCAGACCTTCTCACTCAGCCTGGAGGTGAGCAAGTTGGTAGGAAAAGGGATCTGCTAAGATCCAGTTTCCCCTAGACAACTTTCCTGTGTGCAAGCATGAGAACCAATCATTGTTAACTGACCTTGTCCCACCACAGGGAACTGAGATTCAATGAATGGGTGAGGAGCTATTGATGAGCACTTTGTCACCTACCTTCATGCATCAGCTTCTTTTAGCACACTTTGAGAGCCTTGCTTTACAGCACAGAAATCCTGAACAGTGGAAATCCTTCTCAAATCTAATTCCAGATCACCTTTTCAACCTGCTTCTCTTGACACCACCTGACCCATTTCAATGAATTTCTCAAAATTTATATTTCTTTTTAATTGGGAGACAAAGAAAGAGAGACACAGAAGGAAAGACCTCCAGTCCCCCAGCTCACTCCTCAAATGCCCACAACAGCTTGGGGTCTGGCCCAGGGTTGAAGACAGAAGCTGGAACCCAATCCAGTTCTCTCACAAGGGTGGCAAGGACCCAGCTATTTGAAGCACACTCTGCCTTTCAGGGTATGTACTAACAGGAGATTAGATTGAAGAGTGAAGTTGGAACTCAAACCCAATTACTTGACGTGAGATGTGGACATCCCAACCAGTGACTTAACTGCAAGCTGAGATGTCTGTTGCTCCACAAACTTTTTCAAGTAGCTGCCCCCACCCCTGTGTAACAGAAAACAATGCTTACTATATGGGAAACATTCCATTACACTCTATTTCATCCCATCCCATCCTTTCTTAGCTTGTGTATTCCAGGAGGCAGATTCCAAGATAAGGATTGAAATGTATGTAGTGTACTTTGGAGGCAACCCAGGAAATGTTAGCGGGGGTGGGGGAAGTGAGACAGAGCAAACAAGGCAGCCAATGAAAAGTGCTCAGAGCAGAATGCTATCTCGCCTCCCAGTTATTCTGCCCAAAGAGTGGAGTACCTTACATACAGATTTCCTCAGTCATCAGTGAAAGGCTACTGGGTTCTCTATACTAGTTTCATTATACCTTTGATCACTTGCATGGCTTGATCAAAGCAGCTTCCAGAAGCATAAGCGAGCTCTGTACCCACCCAGGCAATGCAGGTCCTGCCATTTGGAAGTGGGATGTTGTACACATGAGTGTTCAGGGGAAAAATATGAGAGGGACCCTGACAACATCTGCTACTCACATTACTTCCTGTTTTTAAAACATCTGCATCTCTATCCACTAGATGTTTGCTGATTTATTCAAGGGCTGGGATCCTACAGCTGGAACAGCAGTGTAGTTCCTAAGCAGTATTCCCCTTGGCTGATACACTCCCAGCAGCCCATGAAAGGACTTCATATGATACACAAACAAGCATTTGTTCACATTACCTTCATTTAAAAACATCATTCTGTAATAGGAGAAAAGAGAAAGACAAAATGCTGGGATTCAGATTTTTCTTCCTGAGTAAATACATTTTAGAATTCAAGCTGATATCTGTGTGAATGCTGAATAAATGACCACTGAGTGTAGGAAAAGACAGAAGACAATGGGTGCAGAGATGGAGCTTAGGATCATGTGCCCTTCAGATGCCTCCGACTGCAGTCCTCTCCTCTGTGTACCTTGAGCCTGACTATGTTTCTCCCCATTGCAGAGATTCGGCTACGGAGGCTGGGTGCAGCTCCAACACCACAGCAAGGTGAGTCACTCCCTGAGTGTGAAGAGCAGTTGACCCAGGGACATCCCAAATCTTTGGCTTTCTTAGAGCAAGCCGACCACAGAACTTGGCCCTTTTACCCTCATGTTAAGTTTGTGGCAGGCAAGAAGGCAGCATGGGGTTTCTCATTACTGGGAAAACTGGGGGTGATTTCAAAGATTGGTATCTGGAAAGAGGAACAGGAACTGATAAGTCCATTAATTTTTTTTTTTACCCTGGGATCCATTTCATCAGTTATTGTTCTGCTTTAAGGAAGCCACCTGTCCCTCCCCACAGACTACTGCAGTATTCTGAGGCTGATCAAATAGATGAAGGAGTTCGCTTTGAGCATAAATTGGAGAAATTTAACACTAAAGATGAAAGGAAGGAACTGCTATTATTAATGATTGAGCTTAATAGAAGAGGAAGGCATGGACTAAACATTCTGCAAATGATGAGAGGCCTGAAAAGAGGTTGGAGGCTCAATCTGTGCAGTGTTCAGATGAGACTTCATTTTCAGGGATCTCAGATGACTTTTACAAGTTCAGAGAAAACATCCTTGGGTTTCTAGCTTGAATACATACATGATGACTAGGAGGGTCCTGCAGGACACATGGTCTGGACAAACATAAGTATGGACAGGGTTAACTCAGTGCAGCATGGTAAGGGCAAAGATGCCTTGGAGCTAGGTGTTAAGAGGCCTGGATTTGCATTGGAGGATGATAAAGGGTCTCCCAGAGGAAGTAACACCCACCCAAGTCTTGTAAGAGTGGAGGTTTCCCCCAAGGAATAAAGAAAACAATATTTCAAAAATAGAAGACAGGAAACTATCAAACACATCTGAGCCCAGAACTCAAGCATTCAACTATGGCTGCTACCAGGATTTTTCAAATTATGGTCTCTTGGACCAAAAGGCTTAGAGTTACCTGGGAACTTGAGAGAAATGCACATTCCTCGGCCCCCATCCAAGACCTACCAAATCAGGAACTCTGATGGTATGTCCAATGACTTGCATTAATAAATCCCCCACCGCCACCTCAGCAATGCTGATTCACACTCAAGTGTGAAAACCAAAGGCTCAACCTATTATTAACTCACTTACTTGTTTTGAAACTTGTTTTGTGCCAAGCCCACCAATCTAGACACCTGCAGCAAAAACAAGACAGTTACTTCCTGCCCTCACAGTGCTCAAATTCTAGGATGATACAAGTCAGTATGATCAATTCATGGGTTAGAAGTATAAACAGGTCTCAACAGAGAGTGACAGGCTGGCTGCCCAGTGACCTAGCAAACCCTTGGAAGATAGGAAAAGAAATCCTGAAGAAGTACACCTGGTTAAGGAAAAGTTGCAAAGGCCAAGTAGGAAGGAGTTGATGTGTTCTAGGAACACAAGCAATGTGGCTGAGATGTAGTGACAGGTGACAGTAGGAAATGGACTTTGTTGCTTAAGGGATTTGGGAGACATGCTGAGAAATTTGGATTTTTGGAAGTTTTTAATTGCTTTGAATGACCACTTTGGCTGCTCTGTGAATAAAGGGTAGGGATAGGCAAGAGTTTTGAGGAGCAAAAGGATGGCAAGAGGTTGATGAGATGAACAGAAGCTTCATCAGACAGGGCATTGTGGAATTTAGGGGTGAGGCCCCAAATGAGTGTAAGCCATTGTACTTGGTGCTACAGCTAAGTGAGGAGTCTTCAGTTTTAGACATCAGAATTTCTGGGATGCCTCATCCTGACCTTCTTTCAAAGAGTGTCCACTTAAACACTATGCACTTTTGCAGTCCTCTTCCCAGCCTGAGAGCTGGGTTTCTCAGTCACCGGCAGCAAGTCTTCCCAAGGGAAAGAACATTGTGAGTGGAGTTGATTACAAGGCTGCTAGTTAAGTCCCAACTGCTACACAGGCAGCCTGTTAATGTTTGCTTACTCCACACCCTAGGCTTCAGTTGGTCCCTCAATACTGGATTTGAGTGCTCTTCATTTCATTTACTCGTAATATACAATCTTGGCACAAGAAGAAAAAATACTGTCTAGGTACATTTACTGACTTATTGTAGCAAATTGGACACAATGGCAGTCTAATAGAATAAAACCAATGTTCTTCCTCTCTCTCTCTCCAAACAAAACAAAGCAAAGCAGCATAAAATGCAATCAGATCTGCATTCATAATAATTACAGTGGTCAGGAGTTAGAGGCACTAGAAAACAACACACAAATGCATACACTGTTTCAAATTAACCCAACAGCAGGGAGATAAACCAGTGTTGGGACTTTAAAGAAATGCTTTCCTAGATTGCTTTGGTGAACAAATATTCTCCACTGTTGTGATTGATTTAATCCAGAGATTCCTGTTGCCTGAAAGTTCTTTGCAAAAAACCCCTCTGATCTCCACTATTTACATTCTGTTAATCTGTTGGTTTTCCAATGTTCCCATAAGATTCAGGGATAATTATTTGCCATGGTAAAGACTTGCTTAGATTTGAAAAATTCAATTTGCCCTTTGGTTGAACATTCATGAAAGTTTAAATAGGAAGCTGGTCCTTGGCTTATAAGAAAACCTGGCAGGAACTGCATGTGATGTGAGTGGAATTATGTCCCGATGGACAGACTACCTGGGAGCATTTTAAAAGCATAAACCCAGGAGGGTGTATGTACACAGTGCTCAATTCAAATCTGCAGATCATCAGCATCATCTAGAAACAGCCACTGAGAGTTTCTCAAGGCTTTCTAAATCCATCTGTGAAACGTTGTCCCAGTGTAATGGTACTCAGAGACAGAATCCAAGAGAGAGATCATGAGTGGGGCTCCCTTAATAGATAGGCAGGCGCAGCAGAGAACTTGTCCTCTCTCTAGCATGGAAGAACACATCATGAAGACAGCCATCCACAAACCCTCTCCAGGCACTGACTCAGCTGCTGCTTGAACTTCACAGTCTCCAGAGCTCTGAGATAGAGTGCTGATGAAGCACTCAGTCTACAGTATATTGTTACTGCAGCCCAAGACTAAGATATTCTACTCTCAAGATGAGTTTCTCCTTGCTGGATAAGCAGGCAGACTCCCAAATGAATGAAGTCGTATAGACTTGTAACAGTAGTTTTGTGCTGGATGAGGAAAATAGACAAGATGTCAAAAGAGAATTTAGAGATGAGGTGACCAAAGCAGAAAGCAGTCCTCAAGAAAGTAAAAGACGGAATCACAGCAGAGCCAGGGACCATCTAATCCAGAGTTTACAAATACGAGATACAACCCAACCTGAAGCCATAATATCCATGTAGTATGTTAGGACAGCTTTAAAAATCAAACATACTGCAAATCACAACAGAATGCATTGCTAATGGTAACAGTTAATATTGTTTCATGAAACTTTTATCTCCATTTATACTAGTATGGGTACTTTTGGACATCCTGGATCACTGTGAAAAATCTATTTCATAATCTGTGAACTCAGCCAAAATTGGTTAGCAGCTATTAATAGACTCCAACATCTTCACATTATGTTTTTATTTCTAGGATGAATTTTTTGTTGCATAAATAATGTTGAATAAATTCTCCTTTAAAACTTTAAGCCATTAGAGATCAATCTACAGTTACCTTAATGAGTACTTCTTATCTGCAAAAGAAATTCCTATTAACAATTTGGTGAACCTCTCTCCAGATCTTTTCCTATAATTACACTTAAGTATGATGCATGTACCTGTAGAAATGGCAGTTTTATTCCATATGTTTAAGTACAGTTTCAGCTGTATCAATGAGGTTCTAAACAGAAAAAAAAAGTGACATACTCTAAAAAATGTTTTGCACAGTTAAGAAAGAGACTGCATATAAAGGTGTAGGAATGTGAGAAAGTTACAGAAGGAGGCAGGGTTAGATCATAGAGTTTTGTAGGATACTTTAAGAAATTTGAATTTTATCTTCTATAAAGTAGGTATTCATATCAGAGTTTTAAGTGACTCAGTGGCAAGATTTGAGCTGAGCAGCTAAATTCTGACTGTGTATGGTCACTGGGTGGGAGAGCAAAGTAAGAGCAGAATCAAGGATATCAAGCCAAAGGTTGAGCAGCTGTTTAGGGAGAAAGGATGGGAGTATGGGCCAGGGCTAAGTGAACAGTAGACAGATGCAAACTGTTACAGGATATATTCTGAACTGGATTCCTTGGTACTGAGAAATGGATCAGATGGTGGTGTAGCAGGCAGAGCTAAGTGAAATGACAATGTTGCTGCAGACAGTTGAGAAAGATGATGCAGGCAACAAGAACAGACATTGTCAAACCAGAAGGACAAGCAGATTAGGGAGAGAGGTAAACTACAGATTGAGCAAACCTTGTTATGAGGTGTGTAGCAGGGTCATCCCATGGAACTGTCCTTCGGAACCTACAGGTGTGGGACATAGAGTGATTGCCAAAGTTGCTTCCCGATATCAGATCTGGGCCATTTCCGTTAACTCTTCACCTCAAGCCCAACCAGCATGGCAGCTGGCATGTCTACAAGAATAACTAAAATAACTAAATTTCTAAATCATCCATATGCAGTGCCAACACTGGTCAAATTTGAATTTAATTTGGGGACAGCATGAGCACTAGAATTGAAGAATCAGACATTCTATAAGTTGGACTCAGACTCTAAGTTGGAAATCAACATGCAGGAGGTAGGATCATAAAGTGCTGTTGGTGTAGACACTGAAAGAGAGAGAAGAGCTGGATGGAGAGTAGAACAGAGGGGAATTTTGAGCTGTGATATAGACTCAATGGAGGCTTCATTGGACCAAGAATGGGTTTTGAAGCTACCCTTCAAAATCACCCCAAGTTTGGGGCAGAGCAGTCATTTGATGTGAACTCTGCCCTGGAAACAGAGCAGACCTTGAGGGAGGCAACTGTCTTCAGCCAAAGCCAACATCCGGTGGAAGCTCAGAGTTCTCTTCAACAACAGTCCCAGCAGCTGGGAAATCTGCCCTTCAGTCCCAAAAGGAGCATCTGGGAGGCCCACTACAGCACACTCTGAGAAAGGCCTTACCATATTATCCTAATCCCTTGTTTTATGGGTCAGGACCTGAGATTCCAGAAGAGTGAGAGGTTCATACATAAAATTCAAGACTGCTGACTCTCACAGTATTCCACTCTCCACCACACTATGCTGTTCTGGCACTAAAAATGATAGCCATATATTTTAAATGGGTTATACAGATAGTGATAGAAGCTTGGGGAAACCACTTAACCTTAAAAGTGTTTTCTTTTGATAGCTTACCAAAAAAGTAAGATTGAGTTCTGGGTCACAAAACTTAGAACATTTTGCTCCCATCCGGTGTGGTAGACTAGCAGCTAAAGTCCTCGCCTTGAATGTGCCAGGATGCCATATACGCACCGGTTCTAATCCCGGCAGCTTCACTTCCCTTGCAGCATCCTGTTGTGGCCTGGGAAAGCAGTTGAGGATGACCCAAAGCCTTGGGTACCTGCACCCACAAGGGAGACCTGGAAGAAGTTCCTGGCTCCTAGCTTTGGATCGGCACAGCAACAGCCGTTGCAGTCACTTGGGGTATGAATGAGCAGATGGAAGATATTCCTCTCCATCTCTCCTTCTCTCTGTATATCTGACTTTGCAATAAAAATAAGTAAATCTTTAAAAAAAAAAGATGGATAATGAAGTCAGTGTTGAGAGAGAGAGAAAGAGAGAGAGAGAGAGAGAGAGAGAGAGAGAAAGGAAGGAAGAAAGAAAGAAAGAAGAAAGAAAAAGAAGAAAGAAAGAAAGAGAGAGAGAAAGAAAGAAAGAAAAAGTGACCTAGTAACCACCTCTTTCCACAGCAGCAAGTGTTGACCTCTGAGGCACATTTATAGCCTTGCAGGAACACTACATTCCTGAATATAAAGTAAGAGAGATTAGGAACTGATTCTTCACAATGGTTCTTCACAATGGTTCAAATCCCAAAATTATGGTTAAAAAAAAGCAGGATGAGCTGGGGCCTATTATAAGGAAATACGGCTGGTTGGTGGCAATCTAAGTCACTATCAATCAGTGAACATATTTTAAAATCATGGCATATACACAATGAAATACTACTCAACCTTTTTTTAAAAATGAAAATTTGTCATTTTTGATAATCTAGAAGAAGCTATAGGACATTACACTAGATTGAAATAAATCAGGAACCAAAAAGGCAAACACTTCATGATAGCATTCATATAAGGACCTAAAAAAAGTCAAACTCACAGAAGCAGTGAATAAAATAGTAGTTGCCAGGGAATGAAGGAAATGGGGAAATAATGGGGAGATGGTCAAAGGATATCAAATTTCAGCTAGACAGGAGGAGTAAGTTCAGAAGAACTGTTGTACAATATGGTGATTATAGCTAATAAAAATATACAATTTATATTTGTTAAGACAATAGATTTCAAGTACCTCACCACAAAAAGATAATAGATATTTAACTAGTGTAATTATAAAAGTTTGCTTTATTGAGACAGTTTGCTTGTAAGTGAGCAGCATAGCAACTAACTCTCTTTTCTGTTCTGCTCTCCTAATTCTCTTTATTGTCCACCAGTTCCTGCAGATGTTCACATCAACAGACCCTCCTCCACTGGGGGAGAGGGGAACTCACCCTTTCTATCCCAATGTTGCTTCTTGATAAAAACTAGAGGATTTAACTAAATAGTCTATCTCAATGACCCTTTTCAATGTGAAAATGTAACAGACCTAGCATTTCCCAGACAATGGTCCATTCTTTTAGGTCTAATAACCAATGGTTCGCTTGGCAAAGTCATGTAAACCTAAAGGGTCATGACCATGACTTCACTGTCTCTGTGTCCAGCTACCAATATCCACAGAGGACACTTATCCCTTGAACTCTAGCTCAAAAAAATTTTTTTTTAATGAGGAAGAAAAGCTGAATTCCACTAAATGAGCAGATTTCTTCTTCTTCAAGAATTAAATTTTAAAAATCCCTGAAAATATAGAAATATATTCCAAACCATACAAAGAAAGATTATTCCAAGTGTGATTCGGTTGCCTTTGGCTTATTTGAGTTTCCTGCCCTAGGGAGAAGCCAAAATGATGAAAGATGGGAAAGTCTTCCGAGTGGTCCAAGAGAACTGCTGGGATCCAGAAGTCCGTATTAGAGAAATGGATCAAAAAGGTACTTGGCAATGAGAAATGCTACAAATATTTGCATCTGATGTAAAAGCAATGTGTGCTGTTAGTCTGCCAACCAACGTCCAGTATTGTGATTTAGAAGGTGATAATGAGCCTCTTTTTTTTAGCCAGGCTAGGTTGTTCTCCCCTAAGGGAGAAGAGGGCCTTTCACCACAATGCTTTCAGAGTGTGATTTAAAATGTTTTTAAAGTTCAGAATATAGTATTTATTACAGATTAGATTAAATGACTAAAAATTATAAAACATAGATGAAGGATGCCAGTTTCCTGCCTTGACAGACTGAGGGACCCATTCCTTTCTATATTTTGGGTGAACCACACACAATAGCCCCATTAACACATGAAGATTGAAAGTAGAAGCAATTTTATAAAAAATCAGTTAACTGTGTACTGTCAGAATATTGAATGAAATCAGTCAAGAAATTCAAAAGAAGAGAATTCGGAAATTTTTGTTTCAAAGCTCAGTTTCTGACAATTTCAAAGAACTTTTTGCATTCCTTTTATTTAAAAACCAAGTAAGTCCCCACCATTTCAAACAATCTCAAAGTCTAACTAAAATATGATGTGATGATCCTGTTACACTTCACTTCTTATTTCCTAGGTGACTTGCTCTCTCTGCTGTTTTTTAACAATTGAAGCTATATTTAGGTGGCATTCAATTGCACTTTACAGAAAGCCTGTAGCAGCCTTTTAGACCATTCCACAGAACAGATAGAATATAGTTGTATTACAACACGGTTCATGGCAGTTGGGAGGGGAGTTGGAAAATGAAAATGATTTCAAAATCTATAGCAGAGAACCAGGTTTTGCTGTTAATGTGACACTAGAGCAAGAGCCCACCCTCAAGAACAAAATTACTGGGAATGAGATTTGGATAAGCAGTGTCCAAAACCAGTCCTTACCACTTCCATGTACATGACGTGTATGTGTGTGCCTCCTTTGGTTTTTGTGTGTTTATCCACGATCATCTTGAGATAATAGTCACAGTCATGACTAACTCTTACAGAGCCCTTGATTTGGGCCAGGTACCTTTTGAAGCACCCAGCAGGTATGTATTCTTTCAATCAACAACAACACTAGGAGCTAGGCTTTCCTGAAGACGAGAGACCCTACCATCCTAGATTCTGGATTCTGGATTTTGGAACCAAATTCAAGATCCTATTTTGGCTCTTCGAAATCATAGGACTCCATCCAGGCTCACTTAGAGAACTGAATCAAAAAACCAGCGAATGCCACTCTAATATGAATGACCTGAAAAATCTTGGTAAAGAAATGTCTTACTTCAACAAATTGTCACAAGAAGAGGTGTAAAAATAACCCTTGGCAAATGGGATCAGTTAGTTGTTCTTGAAAGATTTCATTTTTGCTCACTCTTCATCCTTCTCCATAAACTGTGGGATCAACGGCAAAGGAACCTGGGAGAGGGCCTGAATGAAAGGGTTGGCAAGGGAGCGAGGGCAGGAGGAGGCTGGGGCAGAGGTTTGAGGCCTCTTACTCTGGAAAGGACAGAAAAGGTCTCCCAGCTGTTCTCATCAGCTTTGCTTTTCTTTGTGTTGTCTAGGAGTAACGGTGCAAGCTCTTTCCACAGTTCCCATCATGTTTAGCTACTGGGTGAGTGTAAAACCCCAAACTACCTCCTTCATCATGGAAGGCCCACGTCCAACTTCCCTTGAAACAGACAGACACCTCAAGGTTGGAGCTTAATCCTACCAAACCCCTACAATACATCCTCCCTTTTAGAGACCAACAAGGTCTTTCTACCTCTCACACTACACGTCCCTTTCCAAGTCTGTCTTCTCAGCCATGTTCATACTCCAGTACATAGCCAGTAGTCACATATTGCTGCATGACTCCTGTTATAGTTTCATTGGCAAATATGGCTCTAGTCCAGCCACAATCTCTACCAGAACATGCGTATCTGGTGACTCATTCCTGCCATGCCTTGCTTTTTGAGACTGACATTGATATGGGAGCAATAATCATAGCCTAATGTGTTATCTTTCTCAGGAAAACATACAGCTCAAAAAGAGAGTACTGGAATTGGATGCTTTTTGTTAAGTGAATAAATCACAAGCAAAAAAAAAATGTCTGACACAATGTTAAATCTGTGGAAGAATATCTTTGTCCAGAGCTGAGGATATATACTAAATCCCTGCTTCACCCAGCAGGTAGTCAAGCAAGTAGTGATTTAAGGAGAATGAAAATATACCTGCCCACATGTATTTTACCCACCTGTGGTTTTAAGCCCAGTTTTAATGATTCAGTCCTTATCTGCTCTGATAGAATCATTATTTAAAATAACATGCCCCAGAAGTAGGCATTTAGCCTAATGATTAAGACACCCATGTTCAACATTAGAATTCCTGGGTTGGATTCCAAGCCTGGTTCCTGATTCCAACTTCATGCCAACACAGACCCTGGGAGGTAGTACTATTTTTCTATTAACTGGGTAACTGGGTTCCTGACACCCACATGGGATCCCTGGATACTGTTTCCACTCCCAGCTCCCAGGTTAAGCTTGAACTCAACCCCAGCTGGTATAGGCATTTGAGAAGTGAATCAATGGATGGGAGCTAACCCTTTTTCTGTCTCTGTGTCACTTCAATAGCCAAAAATTAAGATGTCCTCAGACCTCAAAATGCCTGAATTTATCAGACTTAGTTCTACTGTGAAAGGTCAACAGGAATTGATAAAAGTACCAAATTTCTGGCAGTAGAGTGGGGACAATGATGAAAATGGTGAAGAAAGGAGAATTAAGAGAACTAAAAGCAAACTTTGTCTGCCTCAATATTTTTCTAAGGATAGCCCTGAATACCACAAGTAACAGGAAGAACTGGGAGGAGAATAGGGAGGGACAGAAAAAGTCTGTAAGACAGCCTGGCATCCCTTAAGGAGGTGAAATAAGGATGGGCCTTGACTGTGGCCTGGGGCACTTGACCAGGCCCAACCTCCTAGCAATAGGGAGGATGTGTAAGATTTTTCCATAGTTGGTGGAGACCAAATTTCAGTCCATAAGCAGTGTGAGGTTGCCAAGCCCAGAAATTATCTGTCCCTTCTGATTCTACCCTTGATTTTTCTCATTACTCAGCAATAGAGTACATGTTTTCTTTGCAAAGTGTAATTTCACTATTAAGGTTGACTTCTGGGTCTTTCTGAGACTGCAAAATTTTCAATCTAAGCCTCAGTTTTCCAAGCAGTAAAACCATTGAGAATGAGAAATACTTTAGTCGTATAGAGGCACTGTCCTTAAGAAGCATCTGAAGACACAGTCTTTGAATCATATGGTTTTCTCTTTCTTGTCTCCACCAGGCCAAACCTCAGGACACTTTAGATTTGTGCCAGTTTTTAAATAATGACCTGGCTGCCACTGTCGCAAGATACCCCAGGAGATTTGTGGGTCTGGGGACACTGCCCATGCAGGCCCCTGAACTGGCTGTCCAGGAGATGGAGCGCTGTGTAAAAGAGCTAGGCTTCCCAGGGATCCAGATTGGCTCCCACATCAACGAGTGGGACCTGAATGAGCAGGAGCTCTTTCCCATCTACACGGTGAGTAGAACTTGCTCAGCCCAGGCACAGCTGCAGAATGCCTGAGTGAGGGGACCATGGGAGACAGGGGGCTGACAGAGCAGAGGAAGGTGCCCCCCCTCTGGGAGGAACATTGAAAACCAAGGACACCAGATTTGCTAAAACTGCTCCCCACACAAGAAGTGGAGAATCCTACAAAAACATCGGGTCAGACACTTCCCAGGCATGCCCCGAGTTAACTCTGTGATGAAATCTCTCTTCTTTGATCACCTTTTCTGTCTCTCTATTATTATTATTTGTTTTTTTATTGGACAGGCAGATTTACAGAGAGAAAGATCTTCCATGCTGGTTCACTCCCGTAACAGCTGGAGCTGAGCTAATCTGAAGCCAGGAGCCAAAAGCTTCCTCTGGATCTCCTGTGAAGGTGCAAGGTCTCAAGGCTTTGAGCCCTCCTCTATTGCTTTTCTAGGCCACAAGCAGGGAGCTAAATGGGAAATGGAGCAGCCAGGACAAGAACCAGCATCCATATGGTATCCCAGCAATTGCAAGGTGAGGATTTAGCCACTGAGCCAACACACCAGGCCCCTTTGCTGTCTTTTTAACCTTTGATTTGAAAGCTCATATAACAGCCTCACCACAGCCACTATATATCAGAACCATGCTAATGGCATGTACCTCTGCTCCTGAAAAAAATAAAACAGTATGTATCTTTGCTTTAGCAAAAGATACTTAATACTTTTCAAAAAACTTATGAAGTAATTTTGAAGAAACTGGATACAGAAAAGAATAAAGAGCAAAGCAAACATCCCCCATAATGCAACAATCTAAAAATAAGTAGCCACTGATATTTTTACCTACAAGGTTCTTCATTTGTACATATCTATGTTTTAATGAAACTGGAATTCTGCTACATATGTGCCTTTGTTCCCTAATTGAGAACTTCTAACCTGAATTAAAATTCTCTTAATGTATGATTTTAAGTAACTACAAAATATTTTGGTCTGCTGATATGTTTTAATGTATTTGAACAACATATGATAGGGGCCCAGCACAATGGTTCAATGGCAAAATCCTCACCTTGAAAGAACCAGGCACCCATATGGGCCCTGGTTTGTGTTCTGGCTGCTCCTCTTCCCATCCAGCTCCCTGCTTATATCCTGGAAAAGCAGCAGAGGATGTCCCAATACTAGGGACCCTGTACATACATGCAAAACCTGGAGGAAGCTCCTGGGTCCTGGCTTCAGATCAGCTCAACTCCAGCCATTACAGGCATTAAAGATCTTTCTGTCTGCTTCTCTCCATAAATTTCTTTCCAACAAAATTAATAAATCTTTAAAAATACATATATGATAAAAACAATGCCATGAAAATGTTAACATCTGATAAAATCACATGCTGAATATATGGATTTTCATGGTACTATTACTCATATTTCCATATTTAAAACATTTCATAGTAAAATACAACTTCAGAAGTCCAGTAGCATCTACTTCTGAAGTATTCAATTCAAGGATCCATTGTCTTGTATCTCTCTCTATCATTCTTCTTTCACTCCTCTCTTTTTCTTTTTTTCAAGTTTTATTTATTTATTTATTTATAAATGCAAAGTCAGATACACAGAGAAGACAGAGGAAGATCTTCCATCAGTTGATTCAGTCCACAAGTGGCTACAATGGCCAAAGCTGAGCCAATCCGAAGCCAGAAGCAAAGAGCTTCTTTTGGTTCTCCCATATGGGCCCAAGGTCCAAAGGCCTTGAGCCATCCTCAACTGCTTTCCCAGGCCACAAGCAGATAGCTGAGTGGGAAGCGGAGCCTGCCAGGATTAGAACTGGCACCCATATGGGATCCTGGCATGTACAAGGCGAGGACATTAGCTCCTAGGCTACCTACCGTGGCAGGCCCATGTGCTTTTCTTTAAATAACAATTTAATTGTTTAAAATTTTATTTGAAAGGAATAGAGAGAGAGGGAGAGAGAGATATCATCTATCCATTGGCTCACTTCCCAAAAACCCACAACAAACAGTGCTAGGCCAAAGCCAGGAGTCCACAAATCAATCCAAGTCTCCCAAATAGATGTCATCTCCTGCTGCCTCCCAGGGTGCACATTAGCAGGAAGTGAACCAGAAATGGAGTAACCAGGAGTCAAGCCATGCACTCATATGGAATGCTAGCATCCCAAACAGCCACTTAACCACTGCATGGCCCATCTGCACCATCTTCCTCTACTTCCTTTCTGTAACTAAAACTATTGTTCTCAGTACCAGGATTCAAGATTCATAATTCTTAATTAAAATTTTAAATTTCTAATTTCTAGAGTTATGACAGTGTCATTTTTTACTATTTTCATCACAAATGCAAAATCTTTAATAATGAATTAGATATTTGTGGACTAGTTGGACACTGTAATCACTGATCATTTAATATTTATTCAGCTCTAACTCTGTGTGAAAACTGTTTCAAGCTTGTATCTATGGAGACTGTCTACCAGTTGGGGACCTGCCTGTTAATTTGCCTCCTAATGACCTGAAAGATTTAATGTTCCTCTTAAATAATGAACTCCCTGATGTTTACTGGCTGCAGTGGCTTAGCTGAGGCAGAGAATGTTTTCTAGAAACTTTAATGAGCTTTGAAAAAGGATTTATTTACTTCTGCATCCAAGTTGTTTCAACACAGTGTGAGACAGACTTCAGCTGCAAGCCACTCTATTATTCATTGGAACTGGGTTTATGAATTGCTAAAGGGCTTAGAAAGCTATAGCAGTCAGTTGGGGTCCACACGGATATTTTTATTTGTGTTGATTCATGCATTATTCCATCTATGCTGCTTTGGGGGGCTGTTAGTATCTGAAGGGAATTGGGACCATGTTTCTGTGACTGACCTGCAATGTCCTAGGGTTGATAGCACATTGTTTTCTTAGCACCGCTTACTGCTGCACTGTTCTCTAGCTTACGTCAGTAACATGCTCAAAGAGAAATTATCATGAGCCAAGTTGGCTTTGTCATTTCAAGTGGAGCCTGGTACTCCAGTCCATTCAACTGTCACCATGCCCCTTATCTCCTAGATTTCCCTTTTTTGGTGAGAGAAACTAGGCCTATTCATTCAGGTCAGTCCACAGATTCAAAAACACCCAGCATGGGGCAGACATGGTAGTGCCAAACTGTCAGGTTCTACTATTTATCAGTCACAAGACCTGTGAATCACACAACCTCTATCTGCATCAGTTTTCTCATCTATAAAATGAGGGTAATAAGAGTTTTGCTCTCATAAAGGGCTAATTAAGCATTCTTACAAGGGCTGGGTCAGTGTCACACCATGTTAATCTTCTGCCTGTCACTACAATATCCCATGTGGGCTCATATCCTAGCTGCTCCTTTTCTGATTCAGCTCTCTACTTATGGCCTGAGAAAGCAGCACAAGCTGAGCTGAGTCTTTGGGCCTTTGCACCCGAGTCGGACACCAGAAGGAAGCTCTTGGATCCCAGCTTCAGGTCAGCTTAGCTATGGCTATTGCAGCCATTTGGGAAATGAACCAGAAGATGAAAGATTTCTCTCTCTCTCTCTCTCTCTCTCTCTCTCTCTCTCTCTCTCTCTCTCTCTCTATATATATATATATATATATATATATATATATCTTTCCTTCTCTTTCCATAAATCCACCTTTCCAATAAAATATAAACAATTTTTTTTACAGATTATTATATCAGGGCCTGGTGTACAGTAGCTAAATATTCGCCTTGCAAGCTCAAGATCCCAAATGGGTGCCAGTTCATGTCCCAGCTGCTCCACTTCCCATCCAGCTTCCTGCTTGTGCCCTGGGAAAGCAGCAGAGGATGGCCCAAAGCCTTAGGATCCTGTACCCACATGGGAGACCCAGAAGAAGCTCCTAGCTTCTAGCTTCAGATCTGCTCAGTTCCAGCCATTGTGGGAGTGAACCAGCAGACAGAAGATCTTTCCTTCTCTCTGTGTATTTGCCTTTCTGATAAAAATTTAAAAATCTTTTTTAAAAATTTCTTACAGCAGCTTTGGCACATGCTAAGTTCTTAATTAATGTGAGTTCCGCTTTTGAGAGTATAAATTACTTCTTTTTGTTTTAGCTACAAGGTGTCACAATGCATATGGAGATCAGAAAAAAAAATGGCTAATTTGAATCGAATAGGAATGAATTATCAAAGGCACACAGAATGGAATTTGTTTTTGCTTTTCAGTTTTATTTATTTGAAAGGCAAAATGACAGAGTAGGGGCTGGGGGAAGGAGGATCAAAGAAAGGGAGGGAGACAGGGATTTCTATTGATTGGTTCATTTCCCAAACTCCTGTCTCAGCCAGACCAAAGCCAGAAACTTTTTGCAGCCTTGGTCCAGGTCTCCCCTGTTGGTGGCAGAAACCCAAGTACTCGGGCCATCCTCCACACATTAGCAGGAAGCTGGGTTGGAAGGGAAGGCAGGACTCAATCCTAAGGTCTCTGATAGAGGACACAGCTATCCCAAGCAGTGCCTTCACCAGCTTCACCACTACACCTGACCCAAAATAAAGTTTTATCCTCATGAAGAATCAGATCCCACTGAGATATGATGATCACAGATCTTTGCAAAGCCCAAGCTCTCCCAGGAAGTCCATACACTCTTTTGAAACTGCAACCACCGTCAGATGCCAATAGCTGTTCTTCCTTCAAGAGGCTTACATCTCTCTGCTCCTCCGAACTTGTTGACTTCTGTCTTCATTCTACACTTTGCTTGCCACTTCCAGAATCCCCTGGTATCCAAAACTGATTTTTCTTTTTCTATTTTAAAAAATGCTTATTTACACAAGTCATATTGCATCAGCCTGATTGACACAAATATTTATGTATGAAGGTAAAATGAATTATTCCAGCACCCTAGTACTCATATATTTGAAAAGCAAAGGTTTTGGCGAAAAGACTGCTTTGAATCTTGATAGACTGTAATATTCAATGCCCACTGAGGGGACTTCTAATAATTAAACACTCAGTTGGATGAAGGTCATTCCATCCAGATAGTATTTCCATCTCTCAGAAGACTCTGGATCAGGCTTGCTTATGATATTCATCTCACTACCTGCCTGGCTGAGGTACAGCATGCTCTTTTCCCTGACGTCATCTCATTCATGACACGCATTTCAGGAATTCAAGTAGTCTCCTACAGTTCCGTGAGTGCCCACAAGCCTCAGAAATTGCTACCCAGTGTTGGGCTCTGCTGAACTGGAGAGCTGATGCAGCCAGCCTACCCCAGGTCAGCCCTGAGACCCCAGACCCTGCTCCATCACTTCCTTACTTTCCGTAGCCTCGGGTTTCTAAGTAGAAGAAGTGGGGGAGCACTCTACACTATCACTCTGCACAGTCCCAGCAGTCCTTCTGTGCCCACAGGAAACAAGAGGGAAATTCCCCCTAAATTCAAATGCAGAATGAATCCTTAGGCATTTTGCTCCCAGCCTCAGTATGTGAGTGGCAGATGTTTTCTGTGACCTGCTTTGTCAAACAATATATTAAATCAATCCACCCCAATAACAAATCCACCAATGTCTTCTGTTAATTCTGAGTGTGCTTTTCATTTTTTTAGGCATGAGCAGTTTATCAATGAATCTTTTATAAATGTCAATGTCAGAAATATTTTAGTTCAATTATTCAGATCAATACAGGCTCAAAGAAAAGTAGTTTCCCTAAAATAGTACCTGGTTTTTGTTGGTTCATCCAAATAACCTTCTCTCTTCCATTGCTTCTTTAAAGGCAGCTGAAAAGCTCAACTGCTCCCTGTTTGTGCATCCCTGGGATATGCAGATGGATGGACGCATGGCCAAATATTGGCTCCCTTGGCTTGTAGGTTTGTGTCAGTGTGGGGTTCAGAACATATGATCAACTCCTGAAGTTTTCCAATAATATCTGGAATCCTATTTTGTCAAACAGAGAACAAATAATGAAAAGGATGGTAACACCAACTAAATTTAGTGGACTCTATCCGATATGTGCTATAAACCACTTAATTTTAATAAATCCAATAAGACCTTGAGTAAACTTTACCATAAATAAATTGTATATGAAGGTACTTCCAAAATGTTCACAGATTATGGACATAAAAGATGACTTTATCTTGGTACAAAAACTTTGAAGTCTATGCATGGTTTTTCCATTTCCCATGAACTTTTGGAAGACCACTAATATGCATGGAATTCAAAGTGTTTTGCATCAAAAAATTTTTTTAATTTCAGTTTTCCATGAACTTTGTGCAGTATCGTTATATTTAACTTATGAGGTTGGTATTATAAAGACCATTTTGTAGGAGAGACTGAATCTTGGCGAGTTGAGACAAGCAAAGGTGGATTCACACAGATCTTCCCGACTTCAAAGCCACTTTGCTTCACAGATTCCCAAAGAGGCAAAAAAAAAAAGTTTGCCAGTATCAGTTATTCCAAATGAGAACCCTGGAGTTACCGCTAGAACATCTACCTCCACCACTCAAAGATCCAAAGTCTTACATTGCAAACAGCCCAGACTTTCAACTTTCCTGTTAATTGCTCCTGTCTTCTGCCCTTGCCTCCTATGTGATCCAGCCACTGCTCCACAGAAGGGTATTGGCAAAGAAATAAAAAGAAACTTCTATTTGGCCAATCTAATTTCTATCAGTCCTGACAAAGAAGAGATGAAAAACATGTATAAAATTTGAACACTACAAGTTAAAAAGGTACCTTATCTCCCAACCAAACAAAAAGTAGATTCCCATGTAGATGATCCCTTCTGGGGAGGATCTTTGTGCATTCTCCCATCAACCCAACTAGTATAATTAGTAAATATGAAGTGGTCAAAACAGCAAGCACAATGAATTATTAAATGAAACAATATATTAGAATCAAAACACTAAATTCTGGTTCCAGCTTGATCTTTGATTCATTGTATAATTCACAGAAAATTCCATCTTGGGCTCCAATTCTCTTCTGGAACATGTGAAAGGTGACCTGCAATCCTTATAAAGCTCCTTTTGCTCTGACATGTGTATGTTCCTGTGACTGCTGTTGGAAACCAAAGTATTTAGTAAGGCAAAGTATTTGCCTAAGTATCCTTCAAATGCTTCAGTGACAATTAGTAAGAATAGACAACTGAATAAGCCCACTGCTGTCCTGCTTCAAACAAACTCTCACCCTGATTTGCTTAACTTTGGCTTGCTTATTGTTACTGTAGCTTCCCACAGGAACAATGAAGAAGATTGCTTGCATATATAGTCATTTCATCATTAATATATGTAATACATAAATACTGATCCCATCTGGTATGCCAGGTCCTGTACTAGCACCAAGGATATAGATATGAACAAAATCTCTACTCTCATAGAACTTCTAGCTAGTTAGAAAGCAGAAATGATAAACAACAATTCAAGCAAAAAAAAAAAAGTTGACCAATTTCGGAATTCTATTCTGGATGTTTAGTGGGGTGGAGGATACCCATCAGGAAAGAGCCATGATCAAATCCCCACTGTAAATGTAATGTTGGGTCATGGAGTGAGGGGTTATGGTTCGAATAATAGAAAGCAGAAGCAGAAGCACCGGACAAACAGAAAGACATGCTATCCATGCCCTAGCCTTTAGGAATTTCTGTCTACAAATCACTCCCACATGGATCTAAAACCATCTTGCTTCCAGAATTCCCAGAAAGTTTGGAAGCCAATCACATCTCTGTCTCTGAAGCAGAATACCAGTGAAGCTCCACTGAGCAGCTGGCGACAGGCTTTCCAAGAGCACAGGGAATTAGAGAGCTCAGAGTCACAGTACAAAAAGCAGTCATCTGGCAATGTGGCCCACATGGCAGCTCTTTCCAGCACACAAAGCACTAGGAACAATTCGCTTTCCTCCAGTTATTTTCATCTCTGTTCCAATAGGCAGCCAAGATTTGGCAAGAATAAGGATAAGAGTTAATATCTAATGAATGCTTACCGCCAAGTGCTGTCTACTGAGTGCTCAGAACAATGCCCTGCCAGGAACGAATGGTTATTATCCTCCTTTTACAAATGGGAGACACAGACAATTCATGCTTATCAAGCACCTGCAATGCGAGGTTCTGGCCAGGAACTTTGCCACCATCCTCATTTGCCAGGCTCCAACGTAGTCTTGAAACACTATTTCCATTTCACAGGGGAATCTCAAGATCACAGAACAAGTTGTTAAAGCAAGGGGGTAGAAAACTGGAGGAGCTGAAGTTCAGCCTAGACTTACTGTGGTCTGCATCCAAAGCTGAAATAGTGGGAACTGGGACAAAAGTCAAGGTCCTCATTTGTCCTACCCATTAGACAAATCTCCCTGTAGTGATAAATAGGAAATTTCAGATGGGTTTCCTTGTGGAGTCATGGCCTAGATTCAACCAAATTAACCAGGTGTACAGAAACCCCTTATTTTTTAGCATCAACAATTCCCCAGCCATTAGCTGATGTACCCCAGCATTAATATCACTGAACTTTGTTTTGTTGGAAGTTGCAAGCCCTAACCCTGTGACTATTTCCTGTCCCAGGAATGCCTGCAGAGACCACCATGGCTATTTGTTCCATGATCATGGGTGGAGTGTTTGAGAAGTTTCCTAAACTGAAAGTGTGTTTTGCCCATGGAGGTAAGACTGCACCTCTATTAATCAGCTCAAACTGCCATAACGTGGTACACTGGGTGACTTACAATAGAAATGTATTTTCTCATATTCTGAAAGCTAGAATTTCAAGATCAAGGTGTTGGCATGGCTGGTTCTTAATGAAGGCTCTTTTCCTACTCTGCAGATGGACATCTTCTTGTATTTACACTTGGCCCTTCCTCTCTGCATGCACGGGATGGGGTAGAAGATAATCACAAGAAAAATATTTCCTATTTTTGTTGTAAGGACATTAGTCCTATTGGAGTGCCATTTCATGATTTCATAAGATCTTAATTTCCTCCTTAAAGACACTTTCTCCAAATACAGTTAAATCAGGGCATAAGACTTCATTGGATGAATTTTGGAGGAGTGTAATTCAGCCCATAACATACTTCCAGCCATCATTCTAGTCACATGATGCTTTGGGGATGAAATTCCATTTTGGTAGGAAAATTTAGTTTGGCTTTCATAGACTTAAATTCATAAAGATAAATTTAAATGCTTCTGGTCAAACAATGAGCTCTCCAGTTTGCAATGGTCTCTAGATTCTCTCTTGTATACAGACAGGCCTATTTCATTCATTTACACTACTGGAATTCAATTTACCTGCAGGGGCCAGATAAAGGAGCCTGTGACTCTTGAATTCACCTGTGCATACATATGCACATTCACACACAGATGTGGCTCACTAACCTACTTTTGCTTCTCAACAGCACAACGAAGAATCTTTCCACGTCAGTGACTGCAGATCTCTGTCTTTATTTATGCCTCCAGACACAACATAACATTTCATGGCCATGTCATCACAACTCAGACAGCCCCCTCGCAAGGATAGGTTGTCTGGGTATTTTACTTTTAGAACTGTGCTATATTTGAAATCTTTCACCAAATATCTTTAAATGTTTGTTTTCTCTCTTACGGATACGTTTTTCAATTCTGAATTTCCAGATGCATTAATGCCATTTCTTCTAGTTCATCTCTCAGCTCTTGGAACCCAGGACTTCTTATGTTACTCACACCTGGTCTCTGTCTATCAATCAGCTGGTCTACAGTAACTTTTCCTTGCAAAGTACATAATATTAGAAAGAATACCCTCCAATCAACCACAGTTCCTTACAAGTTTTTGCCTGCAGGTGGTGCCTTCCCCTTCACAGTGGGGAGAATCTCCCATGGTTTCAGCATGCGTCCAGATCTGTGCGCCCAGGACAATCCCACTAACCCAAAGAAATACCTTGGCTCTTTCTACACGGACTCCTTGGTTCATGATCCTCGATCCCTCAAGCTACTAACAGATGTTGTGGGCAAGGTAAGCCACATCTGCCATTTGAGTGGCTTAGGGGCAACAAACTGCTGGGTCAAAATAAATTTCTTGATCCATCTCCAAAAGAAAAAAAGGAGGGGGCTTTTGGGGTAGCAGTTAAGACATCAGTTGGAATGCCCACATCCTGTATCGAAGTGCCTAAGTTCATGACCCTGCTTCACCCTTTGGCCGAGCATCCCATTTTAGCACACACTTTGAAAGGGTGTCAGCAGTTAGATTCTTGTCACTCATGTAGGACAAGAGTTTTTAGTTTTTCAGCTTTTCTTTTTAGTTTATGAATATACATAGAACACATTTTATGCATTCCAAAGAAGTTCCAAGAAGGCAACCATACTTTCCTCGCTATTCTGTTCCTCACCAGTTTCCCTCTCTCCTTCCCCTCTCTTCATCAGTTTTTGCAGACATAATTTTAATCCACTCTATATTCATAGGTGCAATGTGCCACTAGTCATAATATTCAGCAACTAGAAAGTAGGAAGAACATAGTTATACTGGAGTATAAACAGACTAAAAATGATAATCATATCCTAAAATGACCATTTCATTCCTATACATTTTTGAATGCTCTATTAGCTGCCACATATTACAGGAAACATATGATATTATCTTTTTGAAACTGGCTTATGAAGAATAATGGTCCTTAGTTGCATCCATTTTGTGTTAAAAGACAGGATTTCATTTCTTTTGGCTGGGTAGTATTCCACATTTTCTTTATCTAGTAATCAGTTGATGGACATCTGGGATGATTCCATATCTTAGTTATTGTGAAACTGAACTACAATAAATATCAGGGTACAAATATCTCACTCAATTTAGGTAAATTCCCAGGAGCAGGATGACTATGTTATATAGGAGATATATTTTCAGATCTCTGAGGATTCTTCATACTGCCTTCCATAATAGATGTATTAGATAATTCATATAAAAGGGCATTTCCCCCAGATTAGTTCCTTTTCGAGGCTTACTCCAAATGACATGGGAAATGTAGTAAGTTAAGAAAAAGCTATCAGTTTTGAAATTCAATTAATTTGGGTTAGAATCCTGGCTCTGCTTTTTTCTAGTCAGGCAAACTGTTAATGCAACAGTTCTCGTTCACTATGTGAAAGAAGCTGAAACATCAAAAATGGGACGTGCAGGACCAAGAAAAAATACTAGGCAGGGAGTTGGGGGAGGATGAGAAAGATGGTCTTACGTGCCAAGCCCTGTGCCTTGTTGGAATAACATGGCCTTGAAGAGTGATCTATTATTTCTATCACAATGATATTTTAAACTCCCAAGAAAAAATAATTACTTCTGTTTTGGTTTATCAGCCAATATCCCTCTTGGTAGCACCTCTTGCTTCAAGTATTCCTTGAAAATGCCACTCAGCAAGTTAGGCCAGATTTAGAGCAAATATGAACTAGTGAAAAGTATGAAATATTTAGCACTTAATTTCTATTTTATGATTTACATATACCTACTGAAAATTTCTAAGGTTTTCAAAGGCAAAAAAAAATCTTAAGGGTTTTCCAGATGTACACAGAATAGTGAAATATTTACAATATTTTACAAACTTGCTTTTTTAAAGCTTGTTCAGTGGAAAAAAATTTTAAAAGAGGTTTCTCATTGCAAAATAGTGTTCTGGGTTAAGAAAAATCACTGGAATGTAAATGTTACATATTGTCTCAGTGGTTAACTCTGGGATTGAGCTGTGTTTCTGATTTGCATGGGGTGTGACACGGAGGCATGCAGGAAAGAAACCACACAGGAGAGATGCTGGAACAGACGTTGTGGGCTCTAGACTTTGAGCAATAGAAGAAAGGAAGAAGGCTAAGTGGTGTGAAACTAGGGAAAAAGTCTTTCTCATTCTGCCCCTATAAGCCTGGTACTACCTCATAATATTGGAAATGGAAACAGCAGAAGAAAACACCCTTGTCTCATCTTCTGAGGAATACCATCAGCAGGGAGGGATTCGAGCAGCAGCTTCAGCGAGCAGTCAGGGCAACACACACCAGCAGGGGCTAGAGTACACAGCAAGAACATGGCAGGTGCCTTCTGGGAACCAGCAGACTAGTTAGTGATCACATGTGAGGAGACTCCTAGGGTGGACGCCCTGGAAAACCGAGAGCACTCTGCAAAACTGAAAGTGCTCAGATCTCATGATCCAACTGTGAAGGCTTAAGCTCCTGCAACTTGGGCACCACAAGCAAATGTGACCTCATTTTATGTGACCTCACAGGCTAATGATTCCAAGACAAGAATGAAGTCTTCATGAATAACTCAGAATTCTCTTTAAAATATTAATGCTTCCTCATTCTGGTTTCACTCATTGAGCAAATTTTCCTTTAAAGACAATCTTCAAGTCAGGATGGCGAAGGAACAGCCCAGCAGGACATCTGGACTAGAGAGCTACCTGTTTCACTTTAAGAGGACACGGAGCAGTGAGGAGAGGATTGTAGGAAAGAAAAAGATGGGACTGATGGAGTCATGAGAGTGTATGATAACTGGCAACAATTATTGCTAAATATTAATCAGATCTATTAATGTACTGGGAATGAGTATGCAGCAAACACACAGAAAAATAAGCAAATGAACAAAAAGGAATTAAGGAACTCAAACCATGTAAAATCTATTTGAGGATGGAGAATCATTGTATTATGTGACTTAGCAGTGAATATAGTCATAACAATGTAAATACTAAAAAAATGGCTGAAGGGAAAATGTGATTTTTTTAAAGATTTTTTTTTCCTGGAAAGGCAGATTAATAGAGACAAAGATATTCCATCTACTAGTTTACTCGCTAAGTGTTTGTAACGGCCAGAATTGAGCCAATCTGAAGCCAGAAGCCAGGAGCTTCCTCCAGGTATCCCACACAGGTACAAAGTCCCAAGTCTTTGGGCCATCCTCTGCTGCTTTTCCAAGCTATAAGTAGGGAGCTGGATAGGAGGTAGAGTAGCTGGGACACAAACTGGCATCCATATGGAATCCTGGCACTTGAAAGTAGAGAATTAGCCTATTGAGCCATCGTGCTGGCCCCCCAAAATTACAATTTTATTGGGAAAATACACAGTGTGGGAGGTAATACAGAAATGCTCAAAGATCAAAACGGGAAATCAGCAAATAGTCTTAAAGAGCTAGCAACTTAAGAAGTAATAGCCTAAGCTTGTTATCTGGGAATGTGAAAGTTAAATATCAAAAGATGCATTAAAATGGTAAAAAGGGCTGCTTTGGGAGATATCAGTTTGGAAGGCAGGCAAAGGACTGCTTTCCACAACAGAGACATTTGACCAATATCTGTTTAGCTACATGTAGCTGTTAATTTGAGAAATCAGAATGTTAAAAAATAGCACAGATTAATCAATATACTAATGAGGATACTTCAAAGAATTCACACAAGTTCCTATGATGGAAACACTATACATGGATTTCAAAATTTTTTTATACCCAAATACAGTTATCTCTTCATCTCCTTTTTCCAGGAAGAGATTAATTATTTTGTCATTTCTTTGAAAGTCAGAGAGTCAGAGAAAGAGAAAAGTCTTCCATCTATTGGTCACTCCCCACATGCCCACAAGAAATGAGTGGGACCAGGCCAAAACCAAGAGCCAGGAACTCCATCTGGATTCAACATGAGTGACAGAAGCTCACACACTTTAACCATGATGCTCTGCTGCCTCCCAGGAGCACTGGAAGGAAGCTGGATCAGAAGCAAGTACCAATCCCAGGTACTCCTGTGTGGAATACAGGTGTTCTAAGCAGCAGCCTACCTCATGTGCCACAACATCAGTCCCTCCATGAACTTCATGGAATACTATTGCATGTCAGATATGTAAACATCAAAACCATTTTTGAGATAACACCAAAATGCTCTATTCCTAAAAGACTACACTATTGGTAAAGGAAGACATAATGATATAATGTATTGGCTCCCTTTTAGCTCTAAAATTCTCTGATCTGCACTATGTTTACTCACTTTTTAAACAGTTGCAAAATCAATATTGTGGGGCACAGTAGCCTAATGGCTAAAATCCTTGCCTTGAACGTGCCAGGATCCCATATGTGTGTCAGTTCTAGTCCCGGCAGCTCCACTTCCCATCCAGCTCCCTGCTTGTGGCCTGGGAAAACACTCAAGGATGGCCCAAAGCTTTGGGACCCTGCACCCATGTAGGAGACGTGGAGGAAGTTCCTGGCTCCTGGCTTTTGGATCAGTGCAGCACCAGCCGTTGCGGCCACTTGGGGACTGAATCATTAAACGGAAGATCTTTCTGTCTCTTCTCTCTGTATACCTGACTTTGTAATAAAAATAAATAATCAGCCTGGCGTAGTGGCCTAGTGGCTAAAGTCCTTGCCTTGAACATGCCAGGATCCTATATGGACGCTGGTTCTAATCCCAGCAGTCCCACTTCCCATCCAGCTCCCTGCTTGTGGCGTGTGGTGAACAGTCAAAGACGGCCCAAATCCTTGGCACCCTGCACCCATGTGGGAGACCAGGAAGAGCTCTGGCTCCTGACTTCATATCCCTGTGGAACTGGCCGTAGTGGTCACTTGGGGACTGAATCATCGGATGGAAGATCATCCTTTCTGCCTCTCCTCCTCTCTGTGTATCTGACTTTGTAATAAAAATAAATAAATCTTTAAAAATAAATACATAAATAAATAAAATCAATATTGTGGCACAGTGCAATAACCTGCAATCCTCAATGTCAGCAGCCCATTTCAAAGTGCCGGTTCAAGTCCAAGTCTCCCACATGCTCTACTTCCAATCTAATTCCCTGCAGTTATATATCTGGGATACAGTGGAAGATGGCTAGGCTTCAGCCTCTACCATCCATGTAAGAAGCCAAGGCCTCACCCAGCCCTAGCTGTCACAGATATTTAGGGCATAAGTCTACATTTCTCTCTCCACCTGTCTCTATTGTTTTTTTCAAATACATAAATAGATATTTAAAAGATTAAAAACCTAAAGGTAGTTACAGGAACTCTGGTAACACACTTTAGTTAATCAC